TTTTTTTTTTTTTTTTTTTTTTTTTTGCTAAACAGACGCTCCTTTCGATGTTACAAATATTTTCAAATCCGCTCACCAGTGCTGGGATTCCGTACGGCGTGTTCAAAGACGCGATTACTCTTACCAGTTTGGAACTTAAATCGGATAGGTTGACTCGAATTCCAAGTGGTTTGCCGGAAACCCTACAAAGCCTTGATCTTTAAAGAAATAATATTAACAGTCTCTATTTCAGCCACTTTGTACATGTTGGAATTTCACGTCTTGAAAGGCTCGAGTTGTCCTCAAATGAAATATCAGCAATAGACACTGGGGCATTTTCTAATCTGATTAACCTGAAAACTTTGGGTCTCGCTGATAAGCATCTTACGCATTTAAGTGACGGAATGTTCAACGGACTCGCTAGCCTCGAGTTAATTAACATGTATGGGATAAAATTATAATGATATCGGACAATGCCTTTGTCCCTTTGAGAAATCTTGCAACCATTGACATGGTCTACAACAGTCTTGAAACTTTACAGTATGAGGTAAGTCAACGGTTCCCTAAAATTGCGATACGGTAATTGTGCTAGCGGTTCCATTTTAGAAAAAATGTGGGCCAGTTACAGAAACCAAACCTGCGCCCCAGTTTTAGGATAGTTTTAACCTTTTCTAAATCCCTGCATTTAATTAATGATTAGGTCTTGTTTTTAGATTAACTCATATAAACCACACATATTAAATTGGATGGGCGACCGAATTTAATTGCTCAGGTTTACTACAATCTACCCTTCAAGAATTTGATTTCGCTGTCCATATCGTCTAACCCGTGGAACTGCGATTGCCGCCTCAGGTGGTTGCGCGCACTGGTTGATCTGAGACCCTATCTGCTGCTGTCGGAATTGGTTAAATGTACCCAACCACCATATTTGCAAAACTTGACATGGGACATCATGTTTCCAGAAGATTTTGTTTGCTAAACTGATGACAACAGAAGAGAAGCTTCTTTGAACACTGCGATATACAATTTGACTTGATTTCCCGACTAAACCAATTCCATAGGAATAGCTCTTTACACCTTTTTATCAAATACTTAAGCATTCACAACATGGAGACCTGACGTGGGAATACAGAAAACGAGTCGCACAGTACATGGAAATGAAATAGAACTGTCTCCTCATCGCGTATACAGAGATCATGACAATGACGTAAATCAAAAAGAAAACACAACGTCTAATGTTTGATGGTAGGCCTATTATAATTCAGTATTGGTCGTAAATTAAACCTAAGTAGATGATTTCATGATTTGGCATGCTTCAAGGTGTTTTATTCCGGAGTCGACAAACAGGCACTGTGCAAATTACAGACTCGTATTCTTAAGCAACAAGGCGACAAACAGAAGCATATTGGCGCAACATGAAGCGGGAATATCGCCTGTGGTGTGATGGAAATATAGCAAATGTAAATGTAAGTCTCAGTGAAATAAAAAGTGCAGCAGGGTGGCCAGGTGACAGTGTATCAAAAGAGGTCACAGATACACATCGCTGTTTATTTGCTAGTTTGCCTCACAAAGTACACGGTCCGGTGTACATAACCAAACATTTATTTTCCGTCGTATTATCACGGTTTAAATCTAAAGTTACAAGCTAAATAGGGAGGCAGCCCGTGTCCCAACAATCCACCTCTTCCATTTGCAACAAGAACCCGAAGACACAATAAATGAGCTTTTTATTATATTCATAGGAATAGCTGTTTGCAACTTTTTATGAAACACTTATGAAAAATTTAAAAAAAAAAAACAACATTTTGCATGCATGAAATGACCATCCTTGCTTAACATACTGTCTCTTGTACTAAGACAGCTTATTAATTGATACAATCAACATCCTAAAATAAATACCTTTACCTTGACTTCTTAACACCATTAAGGGCTGTTTCTCTTATTTATAATTGTTGAATTGTTGACACTTACCCGAAAAAAGGTGATTCATTGTGCTTACCAGCACAGTAACCACGAATGGTCTTGCAGAAGGCAGAGGGGGGAATCAAAGACAAAACCTTGAGGTTTTAAAATGCACAATTCCAATCGATCTGGATATCCCAACAGGAACATGTCGGTTTTACCCTTATATACTAACATGTTATCATGCAACTAAAAGCATAGATCTACATGCAAATTCAGTTTGGGTGGTTCGGTCCAATTCCAACGTGAATGAAAATCAACATCAAACCCTAAGTCTGCATAAGCTGAAGCGATTTTTAACGCCTCGACATTAGAGAGACAGTGAGACAGCTTATGCCCCCTTCCCTCAACCCAAACGCGCACGTATTAACAATACCATGATATTAATAAGAAAAGAATATGTGCCCTCTGTGGAATGCAGGATTTGCGTCATACGTGAAATTCAGATTATTCTCCACTTCAAAGCCAATCTAGCAGATGATAACAAACAACAACTTTGTTGACGAAGGTAATCTGGCTAAAAGTTTTAAATGTGAGTTCATTCATTAATTGGACATTTCTTCTACTTAAAAAGAAGTGTCACACGTCCTTCCTGGTATCTTAATAATGAGGCTTTTTGCTGCGGACTAAGTTACTAACATAACGCTAAAAACTCACCTTAATATTACTTTTACGTTGTCAGCATAGCGATAGGTTCTTGTGTCCATATGATTTGTAGCAGCTTGGTGCATTAGTTTCTGGTCTATGAAACAGGTTTGTCTGTATAATCCAAAAGTTAATTCCCCTTGCCATCACATATGGTGGGCTACTAAGAATCGTTTTGAGTAACGCGAAAGCGGTCCTGTTTTGACGTCACAAAGATACGTTAAATTATCCACAAAAGGTCCACAAAAAATATGTATTATTAAAGTAGCTATTTTACTCGTGCAGTATGTAGCCTTAATGCACGTCTTCTGCAAGTCAGAAGCTTCAATCTGATTAACATAATCTCGCCGTTAGAAGAGTAACCACAACAGTGCGAATCCACTTAATTTTGCAGGATTATTATCTGGTCCTTATTTGCTCTTTGCAGGGAGCAAAAGCAATTACAGTTATATGGCTTTCCCTGAAAGGGCCACGGTGACGCTCAA